TATCAAATTAATTCTCTCCTTCATCTTGGAACAAAACACTAATGTGGTTTTATATGTATTACATAACACTCTTTTAAACTCACAAATATTTTTTAACTGTATAATACGAATGGAATTCTAAACTAGTCCCCTCCCAATCAAATGAAAAATAATGATGGATTGGCTTGAAAATCTAATGAATGCACATAAAAGCAAATAATCCAACCAAATTCCAGCTGTCTACCTCAAGTTATAACAAGCATAGAAAATTGAAAACTGCAGTTCTGGCCTGTACAGCTCATCTTCTTAGGACCATAATGAAGTACACAACATTTCCCTGCTCTAAATTTAGTAGTTCTTGTTCTGTTATGCAAAATTGGATTTAAGATCGACATATGAATGTAGAAAGAAATGCTAGTAGAACAGTATGTACCATTCAGGTATCACAATGGTAACATTAAATAAATTTTCTAAAATAGGACTCAAGATTCATGTAATATTGCTTTAGTTCCCTTTATTCCAAAGTTAATAGAAGAATCTATGCATTGGGGGGGGTATAATATCACTGTTAATGCATTATTAGCTATATTATGCTGAGTAAAAGGGAGACACTCCAAGGAAGCTGACCTGGTCTGGCCTGGGTGGACATCAAACCCTCAATGCACCATCAATTGAGTAATCCTGACTCCTTATGGAGAACCCTTATGTAATAAAATAAACCTTTTTCAAGACAATTATAAATTACTTAACAACTATAACAAAGAATACTTTGATTAAACTTCATATGGAATGAATAACAGCATAGGTTTTACATACTCAATCTAAGCTGATGATATAAACCCACTTACCAAGTTTGATGGAAACTGAATTAGCAATATGGTCTCCAGCTCTAGAGAGGTAACAAATTCAACCAATCAAATGCAAGATATCTCATTAATATGCTTGGAGATCACCTATTATGCAAACTGTTGATGACTGATAAGTTTAAAGTGGAGCAAAAATATGATTGGAATTCAGTCTTCAGAATGCTAATATGATCAGCCAATCAGATTCAAGTTTACCTAATTAATGTGCAGAGATCTTGCTCCTAACCAGTCATCCACAATCTTGGAAATATAAAAACTATTTAAGAAGTTTGAATAAAATGTAATCATAAGTATGGTTTCACAACAAACTCAGTCAATTCCATACTAGCTCACCTCATTATCATTCATGGATTTCACTCATTCATGTATCAAACTCAGTATTAAAATTGTTCAAGGTCTTGATAATATAAGCATATATTCCAAGTTTGATAAAATTCAGGTGACAAATATATATTCTAAAGAACAGTGGTAACAAGTTCAGCCAATCAGACTCAAGAATGCATCATTAATATGCACAGACCTCAGAATACTGAACTCATCAAAACTCTTGATGATACAAGCCAATCAGAATACTGAACTCATGAAAGCTCTTGATGATACAAGCCAATCAGAATACTGAACTCATGAAAGCTCTTGATGATACAAGCCAATCAGAATACTGAACTCATGAAAGCTCTTGATGATACAAGCCAATCAGAATACTGAACTCATGAAAGCTCTTGATGATACAAGCCAATCAGAATAATGAACTCATGAAAGCGCTTGATGATACAAGCCAATCAGAATATTGAACTCATGAAAGCTCTTGATGATACAAGCCAATCAGAATACTGAACTCATGAAAGCTCTTGATGATACAAGCCAATCAGAATATTGAACTCATGAAAGTTCTTGATGATACAAGCCAATCAGAATATTGAACTCATGAAAGCTCTTGATGATACAAGCCAATCAGAATACTGAACTCATGAAAGCTCTTGATGATACAAGCCAATCAGAATACTGAACTCATGAAAGCTCTTGATGATACAAGCCAATCAGAATACTGAACTCATGAAAGCTCTTGATGATACAAGCCAATCAGAATACTGAACTCATGAAAGCTCTTGATGATACAAGCCAATCAGAATAATGAACTCATGAAAGCTCTTGATGATACAAGCCAATCAGAATACTGAACTCATGAAAGCTCTTGATGATACAAGCCTAAATCAAAATCAGACCAGAATTATAGTTTTCAGATTGGTGACATGCTTAGCCAATACATATGCAAGAATGCATGGATTTTGCACATTACTGAGCTTATCTAAGACCATAATGCTAAAGGCATATATTCCAAGATGGATCAAAACTGGATCAGAAATCTAACCTCCTGAGTAATAACAAATTCAGCATATCAGATGCAAGATTATCTAAATAATATAGATGATTTCACTCAATAATACACCCATCCAACATCTTAATGGTATCAGCCCATATTTCAAGTTAATCAAAACTAAATCCCAAATATGGTTTTCAGAAATGAGACAAGCTCAACCAATCAGATGCAAGATCACATCAATATGTGTGCATCTTGCTCTGCATCAAACTGGTCCAACATCTCAATGATACATGTATTCCAAATCTGATTGAAATCAGATCAGAAATACGACCTCTCGAGTTGTAACAAGTTTGGCCAATCAGATCCTAGATCATATCATTAGCATAAGTGGATTTCACTTAATATTTATCTAATTCATGAGTTTGATGATGTAAATCCATATTACAAGTTTGATTAAAACTGGATGAGAAATATGTTCTCCAGAGTGGTACCAAGCAGTTGTTGAGCTATAAGCTGTGTATAAATAATGTCAAATTATGCAAGAACCATTCTGGTGTTACGAACCAATAACTAGCTTTCTGAATCACATAATGTAATTTTAACTAATCACATAGCTCGTTAGAAAGGCTTGACAAAAAGGTCTAATTTTTCAAAAATTATAACTGGAATGGTAAAAATTTTCAAACTGAACATGCAAACATACTTACCAACAAAATGCTACTTGGTATTAATATTTACATGGAAAAAAAAGTGTCATTATTCCCATTACAACTAAATTCTATTCAGACATGACATGCACTTGTAATGGAATGTATAATGGTTAAACAAAAACTGCCAAGCATATATACATTTATAAAGAATTGCACAATATCAATTAAAAATTAACATCAATATTCACCCCTTAGTTTATTTTTGTTGCATATTTATAGAATACAGTAGTTTCTCTTGACTGAAAAACATGTTAGTCTACCTACTTAACAACACATGTATATATTTCTTTAAAATCAAAGTTTTATGTTTTGAAAAATTTTAAAGTAACCAAAATGAGACTCATAATTATACTGTGAAAATACCATGATATTGGTTCAAAACTGGTGAGATTATGAAGTTTTGAAAATGTGTATGTTATAAAGAAAATCCAAATTTGGTTCGGCAAGTTTCTTGTCTGGTTACCCAATTTTGTTAGGTCTCACTGACTGAATCTGTCAGCATTTGGCCCAAAATCTGTTATGTGACAGTCTATTCTAGGATGACTCATTTTTTAAAAAGAAAAAAAAAATCAACTGAATGCATACAATGCATACAAACTGATTGTAATATTTACAAGACCCACCATAATTTGCTATTAAATCTCCATTTAGTTCCAGAATAGACACTGGTGATAAATGATTGACAGACACCACCTGCAACTATGGGTCAACTATGTGAACCTTGATTATCATGTATCATCCAAGCGGCAGACCGAGATTTGTGATCCTATTATAGCCAACTAACCAGGCTCTTCACAGTATGTCCTATCAATTTATTTTTATATGTATACGGAAATATAATGTCACTATTTGATGGTATATTTCAGTAAATGCTATTCACAATTTGGTATTCCTGCAAAACAACAAATGTCTGCCAAACATTTACAATACTTATATAATTTTATTCCCCATTCACAGAAACTATTTTTATGTTCCTTGAAAAAAAAGCAGCATCAAGCTTCTAATTTACTTAAAATAAAACAGAATAGAACAGTTATTCCAACTTAATGAACAAAATATAATGTAGCAAAAATTTAATACTTCCTTTCAAGATGGTTGTCAGATATTATGAAAAACATGTGCATAAATCTGGAAAACTTATTTTTTCCCTATTATTTCTGTTGTCCACATAAAGGAGACTAAAGCATATTTGAATTACTTAGCTCAACTGGTGGAAAGAGATGTCAACTGTGATAGGAAAATTATTAAATATTTCATATTAAAAAACAACAAAAAAACAAACAACCTTACTGGGAGATTACAACCTATTTCCTATTTAAACCATGTCTCCTTGACATCATAAGTAGTCACTGTGACCGTTTTTGTCTAAAAATGATGCCAGTAAAATTCTTACCAAATGGTATGAAAAAAATGAAAACCTGCTGAAGCTGACTAAATTGAAGTCAATAATGCAATACTGCAAAAAGAACAACATTTAAACTCTTTCATGATGTCATCTTACTTCATACTTCCAAAGAGTAAAGCATATGTTCACATTAAAACCATAAAGTGTGTGATTATGGTTAATAATTGTCCTCTTTTACGTTTTAACTTCTAGTAATTTTTTCTTTTATTTTTTTTTTACATTTTTAAATTAACAAATATAATTATTGACATTGCAAAAGATCTCATCACAGCACTGTGGCAGTATATTTGCTTTTATTCCCATGTGTCCTAGTTTTATTTTCTGTTTAGTAATGTATAAGGTAATAAATTATTAATCAAAGTTGTGGTATTCTGATAGGTTCTCTCATTTCCTCCAGCTAAAGGTCATACAAACCTAACAAAATCATTACCAACTGTAGTAAAGAATTCCCTTTGAAGAGCATCCTAGTATTAAGGTGTGTGTGATTTAGATTTTTAACAAAGCTTTAACAATTTTTTAGTTCTATTGCTATGATGTCTGCAGTTTGACAGTTTATAGTGATGTCTAGAAATGAGACATCATGCCGCAGACACATGGCATGATGTTCCACCCAGTCACATTATCCTGACACCAGGCCAACCAGTCCTAACACTAACCTCTTAATGCTAAGCACCAAGCGAAGCAGCTTTTATTTGGTACAATTTTTTAAAGTCTTTGGTATGACCCGGCAGGGTTCGAACCCACGACCTCCCACATCCAAGGCGGATGATCTAACCACTTGGCCACCAGAACAGTCCACAGTAAAAGGTGACCTGATCTATATTCCTGTACAGTTGTACGGCTCCTTTGGATAGTAACCAAGTAAAAAGTGACCAGACCTATATTCAAGTACATTTGTTGGGCTCCTTTCGATAGAAACCCATTAAAAGGTGACCTCACCTATATTTCAATACAGTTGTACAGCTCATCTGAGTATTATTTCAATATAAGGTGACCTCATTTAGATCACGGTACAGTTTTAAAATCTCTCTGTACAATTTCCCAAAACACAATCATCTTGCCTTTATCATGGTAAAGTTTTTGTCCTGTATGAATAGCATCCCAGCATAAAGTGACCTCAGCTTTTTTAAGTTTTATGCCTCAACTGCATCACAAAGAGGTACCAATGTATCCACCATACAATGACCAAAGCAAGCACATAAACTCTGTGTGAGGCATCCTTCCCTATATCATGGTAAAGTTGTACGACTCCCTTTAATAGCATCAAAAATTGGGACACTGATTAAAACAAGACAATACTATTTTGATGAGGAATCATCACCTCTATCATGGTAACGTTTTATGACGTCTCTGAACAGGATCATAAAGATGGACTACTGTTTCTATCAGAATGGAATCCCTCTAAACCAGACTCTGTATAGACCAACAGCTCCACCATTGGGCTTTTTGGGTGGATGCAGGTGGAGGAGGGGTGGTAATTGGTAAGAACTGTCTTTTTTGGGAGAACCAAACAGGCAACCTATCAGCAGAGTAAATGGAGATTCAGAGAGGCCAAAATACATAAGTTTCATTACATATGCCCATAAGAAGAATTTAATAAGTCATTTGCAAGAAATAATATTTTACTTATTCAAGAAAATAAATTACTAGTCTTAACTGGTAATTACTGAATGTAATTGATAATTATTAGATTATTACTAGATTATTACTTATAAATTACTGAAGTAATGAATTTCATCTGCTTCCAGGAAAAGGTGACTGAGTAATGTACCAGTATTAAGATATGACTTATTTAAAAAAAGAACGCCTTACTATCAATGGAAATAAATGATAATTACTTGATAATAATTATTACCATTTAACTATGAGTTTCACAAATTTCATATAAAAAAAACCCCACAAATATATGATTCTATTATCGCATGAAAATGTATTATATACAATCACATACTATGTCTAGATGCAAACTGTACATATCCTGATGTGTCATCACAAACAGCAGACAAGGATCTTAACTGTTTGTTCTATTGACAAATTCCATATACCCAGATGTGTCAGTGCATTATGCAACAGCAGATCTGGGTCTGTGCAGTTTGTAGCTGAAACCCAATTACAGGTGAGCATATACGGTACATCGATTTAGTTCAATTAATAAAAAAGAGAAAGTGCAGTAGTGTGTGATAATATCAGATGCTTCAAACACATTCTTTTTTTCTGATGTCATGACTTTGTACATTTACCATACTTGACATAATCATATTTTAAAAGTGAAATATCAAAGCTATGTAATGATCTAAAATGACAAATTATCAATCTAATAGTGTGATAAACAAATTCTTTTAGACATTCTACAGTACAATCAATGAGTTTACTATTCACTTGTATGCAGAAAATGAATAATATATCAAGAACTAGTTCAAGAAAGAAGAAGCTTGATGACATTATCTTCTTCTAGTTCCATATCACTTGGAAGCTTGACCTAAAACTGAACCCAATCAGTACTGGCCCCTTGAGATGCGGAGTTGCTGAAAAGAGAAAAACTGTTTTTAGGCAAAGCTGGCAAACAAATATTTTAATTCTTGGTATATGTTTATAAACTGTAATGTTCTATAACAAATTATAATTGTTATAAACTACAAAAACAGTTTAAATATATTTTTTTCCTTCAATTTTTGGTTAAAACTTTTTTGGCCAAGCAAAACAAGATGTTTATTCAACATATTCTGTGTTACTACAAAGAAAATAATTAAAGAAAACACCCTATTAGGCTTCAATTGATAACATAATGTAAAAACATTAAAGGATGCTCAATGGGAAATTCTATTAGAATACCACAACTAAAAATATTTAATGTCATTAAATTTTAGCAAATTACTGATGTGCAAAACGACACATTTTTACTGTGTAGAAACAAACTAAATAGTTTGATTTTTTTTTATTTCAAACATTAGGGTATTATCAACAAACTAAATAAGGTGTGATTAGTTTATTCAAATTGATATTATCATCAAAATAAATAAAGTGTGATTTCTTTACTCAAACACCAGGATATTCTAAATAAAGTGTAATTTCTTTATTCAAACTCAAGGGTGTTATTACCAATCTAAATAAAGAGTGATTGCTTTATTCAAATATATGAGTATTATAAAAAACTAAATAAGATGTGAACCCTTTATTCGAACATATAGGTATTATCAATGCTTATAAAGTAAAATCGCTTACAGTAAAAAATATGTTCACATAAAAAAAATGGACAAAAACATTAACCACACTATTTCCTAACACGATGTCCAAGATCAACTCATCTGGCTGACATTGGCCTAATAATACCACACAAGCAATCGGGGGTCTTCAGAATCATTTCTGTTTAAATTTCTTCCAGTGATGTTGGCTGCAAATGTTATGATAACAACTGTTTCAGGGTATCTCTAGTTTTTAGATCTTCATCCACATTTAATGGCGGTAGCTTTTGTCTAATACTCAAAGTCCATTATGCAGCACATTTTCTGTCAAAACTGGTCAATTTCTTTTACACAAAGTTGTTTAAATATTTTTACATTTTTAATAGTGGCAGCCAAGTTTGACAGATAGGCATCATTTGTATAAAGACCAAAGATCTTCAAGTTAGGACATTTTCTCTAAAGTTTTGTCCAATTCTGTTTAACGGGGATTTAGGATGAAATTGTTTATTAGTAAAGAGAGAGAGAGAGAGAGAGAGACACACACACACACACACACATACACACACACACACACACACACATATATGTAGACATAGGCTATTAGTCACAGAGAGTTCCAAGTGACCTTAGTTGAGTTAATTTTTGTAAATAATGACATTATTGTTAGTAGTATTAGTATTTAATACTAGCATTAACATTACTATAAATAAAGAATTACATATGATCTCATGAAAGAAAAGTGCATTTTTACTTGGGTATTATATATTACTCATTAGTCAGGTGAAACATTGATAAATGGTGGAGATGGAGTTACAAGGTATGGTTCTCCTGTTTTCTCAACTTGACCTAGAAGTTAAACATTATATTGGAAAATTATTCAAGCTAGTCCTCATTATGTTATCCCTTTTAAAGGTACTTTAGTGTCCACAGTGAATAAACTAATTTATTTTAAGCACAAAAATGCATGCACAACACATCATCTATTTCAGGGTGACTTAGCCCCTAATGATTGGTTTATAAAAGGTCAAATTGCCTCGCAAATTTTGTCAACCTAAATCTGTACCTGCCATATTATTGCAACTAACAATAACATAAATATGTGTGTCTGTGTTTTGAACTTGTAATGTAACCTTAAAGATTTTTCAGTCATGTTGCTACAGTGTCTGCAGTGTGGCATGTAGCATGATTTCCCATCCAGTCACATTATCCTGACACCAGGCAGACCAATCTAACCTTAACCTCTTAATGCTGAGCACCTAGCAAGGCAACTGTTAGTACAATTTTTATAAGATTTTTGGTATGAATCGTCCTGAGTTCAAACCCACAACCTTCTGCATCCAAGGCAGACACTCTAACAACTGGGCCACTGAAGTGGCCCAGATAAAAAAAATAAAGCAATTTATAAATTCTTTAATATCAATTCTTTCAAATAGTTTTTTAATTAAATAATTTTTGTAACCTAACAAATTTGATTTTGTAACCTGAACAGACTGATCTTTAACCTGAACAGCCGGATGTGTAACCTGAAAAGATTGATTTTTAACCTGAACAGTTTGTTTTATAACCTGAGCAGATTGATTTATAACATGAACAGGCTTATTTTTAACCTGAACTGTTTGTTTTATAACCTGAACAGTCAGTTTCTTTAATCAAAAGTACTTCTCATCACAATTTTGCTATTGGCATTATGAAACAGAGGTCTCAGTTACCAGTACAGATGTTATTAATGTCTGTCTGTCTGCCTGTCTTTCCATGCAATAATTACCTTGCACTACTGCTGTTATTAGCACTAGCAAAATCACCCCATGGATCTGAAGACTGAGATGCTCCTTTTGACTGAGACTGAGCATTATTAAATCCACCGAAATCCTCATCGAATCCCACTAAATTCCCCACCTGACTAGTAGACTGGTCATTAGAACTCTGACTGTTAGATGAAAAGTCAAAATCAAACAGATCTACATTACAAGCAGAGTTCGTGTGAGACACATAATGCTGTGGAGTAGTGTTTGTTTGCTGTGGGGCTGACATGCCTCCTGTGGGTGGGTTAATCTTGAATCCCCCTGGGGGTGGGGGTAAGAGACCCAACCCACTTCCACCTCTTCCTTGTCCCTGTGTCCGCTGTCTAGGCTTATGTGTTCCAGATTCATCACCTTTCTTTGTCTGGAACAAATGACAGAACAAACATTTTCAGAGAAGAATGGTAGATACAATTTATATAAATAAATATTAAGATGCTAGACGAGAGGCACAAATCTGATTTTAAAAAATTCTTAAAATTAATATCTATTGAAATATGAATAACATTCATTGATTTGTTTATATTTAATTAATTGTGTTCAGAGGATATAAGCAAAATTCCACATAAATGCAGGATAATGTACGCCTTTCCTTCTTTAAGCATTATGAGTAGCTATTTCCCACCAATGCATGATATGCCATTATTATATACTGTGATATGTCATTATTATATACTGTGATATGTCATTATTATATACTGTGATATGCCATTATTATATACTGTGATATGCCATTATTATATACTGTGATATGCCATTAATATATACTGTGATATGCTATTATCATATACTCTGATATGCCATTATTATAT